TCTTAACACAATAATTAAGTAAGTGAGGTGAAGGTTATGTTAACCAGTTTGATGTAAGCATTCCAAATTGTATATAACATCAGCACATGGTACTCCATAAATGCATTAACATATACAATTATGATTTAATAAAATATTTTTTTTAAAGAAAATGCACAGAATTGTCTGTGTTTTCCAGAGAACTCTCCCAGGCACGAGACAGAGAGGACTGTACATACTGCTGAATCCAGAAGCCCAATCTCAGGGCACATACTGATCGGGGAAGCCTTCTTCATTTCTTTTTTTTTTTACAGCTTTTTTGGCTGGGGCTGAGTTTGAACCCGCCACCTCTGGCATATGGGGCCAGTGCCCTGCTCCTTTGAGCCACAGGCGCCGCCCAAGGGAAGCCTCCTTTACATAGCTTTTTCTCCACTTAATCCGCCATGTTGATTTTTTTAACATTTTAGATTTAACATAAATTTGAAATATTAAGCCCTAGCATTCCCAGTCATGAAATAGAGGGTGGAGAGAACGCCAGGAAAGGTTCTAATTAACACAGGACACACTAATTGGCTCGTGTGGTTTTCTGCATCGGTAACAGGATGCAAGCTCTGTAACCTAGGTGTTTGGTCAGTAATTACAGGCCAGACCTTCTTAGTCACTTCCTCAAGTGATAGCAGCAGGGGAGTGTTCTTTATTCTAAAGAATAAAATGAAATGTGTGCCATAGTTTTTCTTTAAGCCCGTACAATTTTTTCCTCCAAAAATTTTGGAGACATTATAACCCACAAAATACTGAAACATTGTGAAATGTGATTTCGGGATCTATGGTTCTTCTTGACTGATAAATTTTTTTTCCTATATTATTTCCTGTTTTCTTTTTCTGAGCTATACTTTCCCCCTCTCCCCCAAGTTTCCTAAATACACTTCTAGTCACTTTTAATTTCTTTGCCTTTTTAGACGTGAGAATTTTTTGGAGTTGATGTTTGACGTTGGTGTTTCACAGGAAGAGATATTGATATTTCTTACAGGAGAGCATGTGTGAGTGTGTTAGAGTGTGAGTGAATGAGTGTGCAAGTGAGTGTAAGTGTACATGTGTGGGTGTGCGGGTAAGTGTGCAAGTAAGTGTGTGTAGGCACAGACTGGGGCGCCCCTTTGCTTTGCTGGTCTGAACTTTGTCATTTGCCTGGGCTCCAAATTTTTCTTCCGGTAGCTGGACACATTTATCAAACTTTGTTTTCTTATCCAAGGTTTAGAATTTAGTGACTCATATGCACAGCCCGTGAAGCAATTTGCCTGCCAAAAGGTGCAGGGAGGATGTCCTAATGTTCAGCAGAATCTCCTTCTCCTTCTCAGTATCTGGCCTCTCCCGATCAAAAAAAAAAGAGACCTCAGCGAGCCCCTGAGGCTCCATTTATTCCCATTTGCATCCGAAGTTATGGGGCCAGTTTATTTTCAGGCCTGTGTGAGTCACAGTCATCCTCCCCCTCCTCAACATTAAGGCCAGATTACTCATCTGATAATGGCAAGGCTTCTTGAGAAACTCAGAAGCCCCTATTCAAAGGTAGCTGTGACTGTGGTAGAGAACGTGTTAACCCTTTGGGGTTTGGTTTGGTTTTTAATAGACAGTGGCCTCCCTATGTTGCCCAGGCTGATCTCCACCTCCTGGCCTCAAGCGATCCTCCTGCTTTAGCCTCCTGAGTAGCTGGCACTCTGGGCTTATGCCACTTCACACATCTTGTTTTGCTTTTTTTTTTTCTCCCATCACGTCACTTGCTGGTCCAGTTTACCTCTTTGTCATGGTATATTAGCTTCCGTGATCTGTCCCCTGTGGATTCCTCCAGCCACAATCCTTGCCACCAGTCTCCTCATACTTGAGCTCTAGTGTGCTAATTTCAGCCCCTTCACAGTACCATCCTGTCTGGTGCCCCAGGACCTTTGCACTGGCTACTTGCTCAATTTAGACCACTCTTCCCCTTCACTTCCTCGGCAAGCTCTTGCTCATCTTTCAGGCCAAAACGCAAATGTAGCTTCTGTGCGTCTCAGGTGTCAGTGCTGTGCCACCTGCAGTGCCCTGCTCTGCCCCTCACAC